GACAGGATCGACAGAAAATGACATGTATTACAGCAAGAGGTTGAGAAAACCATGGAGTGGTGTGCTGAATCGACCGCAGTGATCAATCCTCGGAAGGCCGCAGCACTGTGGTGCTCTTTAGACAATCGAATAGTAAAGACAGACGTCCCAGAGCTGACGGTAAATGGACAGAATATTCAAAGATTTCAGAAGATGCGGTATCTGGGAGTTGTTTTCGGTCGCTGTCTTTTCTTCAAAGATCACATAGATGGTGTTGTGGAAAGAGGAAAGAAGGGCTTGAATGCAGTGAAGGTCATGGCGGCTTCAGGAATGGAACAAAGACTACTGAGTGGGTGGTTGGCGGGTGCTCTGGTGTGGTTTGCTCCTTCTTTCCTGACAAACATCTATCGTCCTCATCTCCTCCTTTTTCTTTTTTTTTTTTTGTTTTTGGTATCAGCAGCTGGTCTTAGCAGTAATCGATTATGGGCTCGGAGTATTGACCTTGACAAAAACCCAACTTGACAAGTTGGATCCGAATTCAAATGAGGCCATGCGCATCATACTATAGTATAAGGGCTGGCAGGGATACGCCAGTGAGTTATCTGTATGAGGCATGTATTGGCCCTCATGTCAATGGATGGAAAACAGACACAAAGTGGCTCAGGTCAGGGCGTACATGAGGGTGGCGGCTGATAAGCAACACCCATTTCATGAAGCCTTTGGAGCAATCAAGGGAAATCACCTAAAACAAGGAGCTTCTTGGATGGCCGAGGCTGAAAACACCATCAAGGAAGTCTGCCCACTGGAAAATGTACAGCGGGGTGAAGAATGGATAACGATAAATGAGAGACAGCAGGCAGATTTTGAGAAGGTAGTGATTACGCTGAACAGAGAATGTTTAGAGTCGCCGCAGGGGGCGACAGATGCTGAGATAGGACAACTGATTGAAGACAACTCACGGCATGGGGATGTGGTTGTATACAAGGATGGATCGTTAAACGAGAGGGTTGCGGGGGGGGGGGTCTGGATGGGGCTTCTCAGCAAAAGTGAGTGGCAGATTGGTGCGGGAACAGCAGAGAGCATACGATATGACATCTAGCATGAGAATGGAGATTGAGGCAATCACCCAGGCTCTCAAATGGGTTACAGCAACTCGACAAGCACGTATAATCTTTGTAACAGACTCTCGGAGCACTCTGAGGAAGATTGAAAGTGAAAACCATAGTGCTGAATGGACCCTGAAGAAGACGACACTAAAAAAGATCACCTGGATCTTCACTCCGGGCCATACTGGAGTCAAGGGCAATGAGCTCGCTGCAAAAACAAAACCTGAAGGAAAGCTGTGCCCTGACAAACCTGAAACTGTGCGTTCAGCCTGGGGGAAACGGGAAAAAGAACAAGAAGAATCGGAATACCATCATCTTGGGCGACTTCGTGAGCTTGGGATAGGATGGAGCGCCTGCAGAAGATCAAGACTTAGATCTAGTGGGAGGAGCAGAATGCTATGGAATCAAACATTGCTTGGAACCGTCAGCATCTACACACTTCGAGATGTGCTTCTTCAGGGGACGGAGCGCTTATGGGGATGCCCCTCGTACAGTGATGTCGGTCATTCACACAAGTAGCAAGTAACAAGATCCTCTTTGTCAAGTTTATTTCGGAACTGTTATAATTGTCATTAAATATACTAATACCGGCATCCCTAGTATTTTACTTAGAATAACCTTGGCTTGGTGCTTCTTTGACAGCAATTACAATTTTTTGTTTTGCAGATATTTCAGCTTCATAGATAGACACTTAATCGTCCAACTAACACTAGTTAAGGCTAGTCATTTCAGGACAGTGCGACTCGTGACGTTTATGAGTAGGCAGCTTACAGCTTATTGTCCGGGCAGAGAAATCAAGTGTAGCGCAATCCAAGCGGTCCAAACAGTCAGAGAATACTGATACTGGTTCAGCTATTCCTGACAATGATCTCAGAATGCTGAGACAACAATAACCAAACACATTTCTACTGGCTCGGCCGCAGTTCGAACCCCTGGCATCTTTCAGATATTCGGAGCTTCCACGGCTGGTGTACACTCACCAGAATTTGAGCCCCAGATCTTTGGCTCCATCGACAAAGCGCAATTAAATAACATTTACAAAAAAACAGTCGAACCTCAAATATCACGAAAAAGAAAAATCCAGGACGTTTTTATTTGACAACGTCGGGTGAAAGAAAGACGATTATCGCCACTCGTCCTTTTCCCATAAAAAAATTAATTTAAAATCTTATTTTATCTGTTATGAAAGAATGACTTTTGTCTTCTCACACACAATTTTGTTGATACACCTATTTCCAAACAACATTTTAACAACAAGTGCATAATTGCACCATCCTTCCTCCTGCCAAAAATCAAGTTAAAAATAAAATTTAAAGAAACAATTTTTTAAAAGTGAGACGAATAAATTTGATTTTTGACCCTCTTGGAAAATAGCTATATATCGCGATATTCGTCCTTTTTCTCCAAGACGGCAGTGTAGTGTCACACACCTCACAAAGAGTGAACAAGCTGACTTTTCAGCTCCCGCGGTTCTGTGAACAAGTTGACTTCAACTCAAGCGGTTTTCCTTACCGCTGGTTCGTGTAGTCCTTTGTAAGGCGGAACTCGAAATCTTTGTGCCCATTTTGTTTTCACGAATAAGATGCGTTGTACGCTGCGTGGGGCGTGCTTCTTCTTCTTTTTTTTTCCTTTTTTTTTTGCTTCTTCTTCTTCTTCTTCTTCTTCTTCTTCTTCTTCTTCTTCTTCTTCTTCTTCTTCTTCTTCTTCTTCTTTGTTTTAGTAAAGTGTTTTACGGCGCTCGTAACTGCATAAGGTCATATGAGCGCACGGGACACACCTAATATTTTCAGTTGGTAGGAGGAAATTTTGAATTTTGCCCGGGTGGCGGCCGAAGCTTACTCATCAATTTTAGACCTCCAAGGGATCTTGAACGTGTGCAGCTTGCACACGGGACCTCCGAGATTTTTCTCCCTTGTCCGAGAAGGCAAGGTGTAGATCTTTCCTACCACCAAAAGATAAGCAGTAAGAAGGAGCCAAGGAGTAGCAGAAAGAGTCAAGAGCCCAGAGGAGGGGGGGGCGAAGGAGGTGAGGGGGTGGGGGCAGAAAGAGGAGACGAAAGCAGACGACAGAACATTGATAGAGAGCAGAAAAGGAGGTGAAAGGAGACAGTTTTAGAAGAAAATTTTTCGGTTGAGATTCGGAACCCGGGACCTTTGAATGAGAGGCGAACACCTTAACCTCTTGGCCACGTGAACCCCCGGGCGCGCTTCCTATGTAAGATCGGCAAAACACTTTAAATATGACCACTGCATTTTCGGCTTTGGTTGAAAATAATTTTGAATTTTGCCCAGGTGGCGGCCAAAGCCTACTTTACTGATTTTGGGATCACCAGCTTGGATCTTTAACATGAGCAACTTGCTCCGAGATTGTTTACCCTTATTCAAGAAGGCTACATGTTTGATCTTACCTACCCTAAGATCAGGGGTGTGGCTGAGAGATAGCAGTAAGAAGGAGCCAAGGGAAGAAGTAGATATTATGTAGAAAAAGTCAGGGGTAAAGGAGAGAGGGGGGAGGGGGTGGGGTGGAGATGAAAGCAGAAGACAGAACATCTAAAAATACAAGAAAGGAGGTGAAAAGTGAAAGTTTTAGAGTAGAAAATTGGTCTAGTCGCTGACAGCTTTCGCACCTGGGACTTAAATGAAAATGAAAGGTAAACGCTGTACTTCTAGGTCATGACAGCCCCCAACATCTATTATTTCCCTTCCCTGCTCACACAGAACGGCATTAAGTTTCTGCCAAAAATGATTCACTGGAGACAGGAGAGGTCAAGGAGAACACAAGGTATGCCTGAACCAGCATTTGTTCTTTCTTTTGTTAAAGTGTTTTACAGCGCTCGCAACTGCATGAGGCCATATGAGCGCGCGGGACACACTAAACATTTTCAGTTGGAAGTGAAATTTTGAATTTTGCCCGGTCGAAGCTTACTCTTATTGATTTTAGACCATCAAGGGATGAGCAGCGTGCACACGGGACCTCCGAGATTTTTCGTCCTTGTCCGAGAAGCTAGGTGTAGATCTTTCCTACCACAAGAGCAGGAGTGTGGCTGAAAGACAGCAGTAAGAAGGAGTCCATGAGTAGCAGTGGAAAGGCTGCAGAAAGAGTCAGGAACCCAGAGGAGGGGGGTGGGGTGGAGGCAGAAAGTGGAGACGAAAGCAGATGACAGAACATTGGTAGAGAACAGGAAAGGAGGTGAAAGGAGACAATTTTAGAGAGAAGAAAATTGTTCTGCCACTACCCGGATTCGAACCCAGGATCTTTGAATGAGAGAAGAACACCTTGACCTCAAGGCCACCAGAGCCCTCAACCAGCTTTTGTGTATGTAGCAACTCCAGAGCACTTTGCAAAATAGACAAAAAACCAAATGATAACTTTAAATACATTTTAATATAGGGAGTGCATACAGACCCGGTAACCGGGAACAAAGTCACAAAGTATACAGACCCGGTAGGGGAACTCTTTTGTGATTTCGGAGAGTTTCAGCGCCCTCTTGGCTCAGGGTAGACCTAGGTTCTTCTAGATCTATGGTCTAGGTCTAGATCTAGGCAGACAGACATAAATCTTTCATCTAGTTTCGCGGCTAACCTAGATCTAAATGAAGATTGCGGATGTCGTTTCGATGAACGATGGTTTTTTTTCTCTCTCTCTCTCTCTCTCTCCTCTGTGTATCGCTCGCCTTCTCTTTTTCTTCGTTCCTGCCAACTGGGGCATGTCATATACATTTTGCTAGCACCCCCCCCCCCTCTCTCTCACACACACACACACACACACACAAAAGATTTCTACTGGGTCTGAGGTCTGAAACTTCCCGAAATCACAAAAGAGTTCCCCTACCGGGTCTGTATACTTCGTGACTTTGTTCCCGGTTCTGTATACACTTCGTTTAATATATGACAAAATAACTCTGAAAGCAAGACATTGTATATGACCGCTTTATTCAACTTGCCAGATGAGGCAGTAAGTTCAACAAAAGAAAACAGGGCCTAGTAAATGAGAACTAGTTTTCAATGAACAATTCTTCACATGAACACTCAAAGGCATAACTAAAAAATCTGGACTTTGGAAGATGATGGATCTCTCTCAATAGTCCATGGTTTTGCTTTGGTGTTTGAGTTCCACCCTTCACATGAATCAATGATTAAATACACATACACCAAAAGGGAAATGCGCCAATGAAAACAAAAGATACATCTTTGTGACGGGATAACATTAATAACAATAAAACTAAGTAGTTGGGTTCCAATCATGTTTCAAAATAAGATTCTTTTCATTTTCAACTTAAATTTTGCTTTAACACTAACAGCTTCTAAAAGCAGCCTAGAAATTATATATAGGCTATATATTAGATAATGAGAAACTGCAAACAAAACACAGCTTTCAGTTTCACTTCAGCTGAATCACAAGGAAACCCTTACACTATACAGGGATAAAATAAAATAATAATACCATTCGGTACTCTCCCATTTCACATTAAATTTAAAAAACAAACGCGCCAGAGATTCAAAAACAAACTATTACACTTCAGGAAATAGCAATAGATTGCCATAAATGATAACAAAACAGCCTAAATTTGATATCGTTCATCACTTTAAACAAGGTTAATCACGTTCCACATTCATTACACCATAACTGGGATAATCTCAAAACAGAATATACAAGGGCACCAAGTTACGGTGCAAGACAAAGAGCACTCAGTATGCTTCTTCCAACATTTGCATCCTACAGGAAAACAGGTATAGCCAAAAAGTAAAAGAACTGATCTGAACAAGTTTTGAAAACATAGGCCAAACGGGTCAGCATTTGTGCTAGACATGTCACCAGTCTGATCACAGAGAGTCCCTTTAGTTTTTCTGGGACATCAAATTCAGAACTTCCATGGCGCACTAGCAATGCTCATATACCCACATTACATCCACCCATTGACATTGTATCGAAAATAATGCATGAAGACACAACTTCACAATGAAAAAACCCACAATTTTAATCAAACTAAAAACAGGGCTTTGTTCAAGAATTCCCATAACCTTCTCAGGAAATCCAACCAAAATTTTAATCTGGATATCAAATGGCACTGGTGACAATGTTTTTCATTTGCGCCAAAATATACAGTAAATATCTGATTAATATCATGGTTTTCCGAAAATTTGCACATATTCAAAGTTCAGCAAGACAGCCTGGCCAAATGAGTAGATGATCAGCGTAGCAGTATGTTCAAGATTTGTGCAGCAAGACTCAAGTTATCCTTAACACATTACACCTTAAGGGTCTGGACGGGAAGTCTACCCCTAGATCCTAAGCAAGGGGAAGGAATCCACCTCCCGTGAACACATGCATATAGGGGCCTATATTAAAAAAAACCATTTAAAAAATACTTTAAAAATTCCAAGAATCCTGAAAAAATAATAATTAGAAAGAGAAATGAATATAGTTTCAGAAAAATATACGTTTATGTATGCACAAACTGTTGGAAATGTTTTAACTTGAATTCAATCGGGGTTCCGACCCATCACTCTCACTACCAGCCTCGCGGTCGGGCCCTAGATCTAAATTCTTCATCTGATTAATCTGAATCGCCCCAAACTCCTGCTACAATGTTTTCATCAATATTTGATTCATCTGATTTGTCATTTGCTTGTTCTTGCTCAAATCCATTGTCATTTCCTTTTTCTCAATTGTGTCGCTTTTCAACAAGTTGAGACACCTTCGAAGTGTCTCTAACGCGATCGCATATCGATTGGCTCTAATACTAAAACTACAAATCCGAAAAATATCGTTTTGATATCAAACGAAAGAAAGAAAATTTTGCAATAACTGTGTAAAACAAAATCTAGGCCACAGAGTCTCGTAAAGGCGAGACGTCGTTTCTAAAGACGCCTGGTCAGAGCAGGCGATTCCGGGCGGCTTAGGGTGGAGAGCGTCAGGAAATTCTCGGGTGATCCAGGGCGAGTCGGGGTGTAATGTGTTAATATCTTTTCTCGCAGAATTGTTCTCCAGACAACTAGTGACACAAAGCAAAGATAGTAAAGGTCACCTAACAAGTCAAATAAAACTTTTGAGCAACAAACAACCCAAACTTCAGGCATGACACGCTTCAAAAGGTGTGCACCAATGACAAAAAGCTATACATGATAATCCAATATTCTTCTTAAAGAAAATAAAAACCCATTGGCCAGGGTTTATTTTAGAGTTGAGATATTGCAACTAAACCGGACAAAAAAAACCTCATTGTACTTGTGAAATCCAGGTTCAAATGATACAACTAAAACTTTACAAGTCAGTTTTTCAGCAAGAAAAAAATTTCAAGACCAAAAAAACCCCCGAAATACAAAATGGCAGAAACCTTTCCTTCTCATCAGGTAGATACTGTGTAATGAATTTAGCCAAACAGAAAGTCAACTTGAGACAAAAGAATTTCATACCGACTTGTAATTTCTGACCGAATAAGGCTACTCCTCCAAGACCTGATCTACAAAACTGAGTCATGCGTATCTTAAAACCTCCATCTTCCCATATCAATTTCTAACAACACGCATAAAATAGAGATGCACACACTCACAGATATGCTTCCACAATTCTGGTAGACTTACAAATAAAATCTTTCTATCTTCCATAGCAATTCTTAACACAAAGTTCAACATGATGTCCCTTCCTCTATGACTATGCAGGTAGGTTGAGAGACTTCTTCACTGCATTGAGGACGTTCACCACTTGCGGTAAGGCCAGCTGCTCCAGAGAGGCAGCGTAGGGCATTGGCACATCAGCTCCGGTCACCCTCAGGATGGGGGCGTCAAGGTAGTTGAACGCAGCACCTGGGCACAAGGAGCAGAGACCACTTTATTCCTCTCATTTAGTTTTAAGTGCAGAAGATTAGGTGTTACCAGAGAGTAATATACAAAGAAAAGAAGGGGGAGATTTATCGGGATATTCGGATTGAATCGGGATGGGTGGCAGGTCTGAACAAGGAAAAATCGTGTTTTGTGGGGAAAAAAGTAGACTCTGGAATGTGCCTCACCTCTCCAGATACAATGGTACTAGTTTTACCCAAACTTCTGTTTGTTTTAGCTGAGGTTTTACGGCGCTCGCAACTGCATACGGTCTTATATGAGTGCCAAGGGGTGGATGTCAACAGAGAAGTCCTTACAGGGAATCAGACTTACTCTGCTCACCTCTCTAGCTTCAACAGCACAACAAAGTCTGCTCCACTCAATCCTGCATCCAGTTTCCAAGATGCTTTTGTTGTTTTTTTTATAGTAGAGGGTTTTATGGCGCTCGCAACTGCATAAGGTCATATGAGCGCCAAGGGGTGGGTGTCAACAGAGAAGTCTTTACAGGGAATCAGACTTAGACTGCTCACCTCTCTAGCTTCAACAGCACAAGGTCTGCTTCCGACTATCAAGGCACCCCAAAATAGCAGGTCACAAGAGAGTGACAAACATATAAAAGAAGTAGAGGAAAATGACAATAGTAAGGATCAGGAAAGAAAAAGCAGCAGTTCCCTGTTGTAGATCAGGCACAGTTATGAGCGTGACATGAGTCAGCCCATTTACAATTCTACTGTGCTTGAACGAGAAATGTCCCCCCTTTGGGAATGGCCTTAAGACACATTCAGTCAGTGGCACTGCCCCGAAGAGTAGCTTGTTTGTTTGTTTGAATTTTTTTAAAGTACATCAACACAATAATGGTCATTCATATCTGGGAAAAAGTAAGACAGACAGAAATAACAGAGGGAAAGTAATAATAATAATAAATTATTAATGGGTGACCTTATTTGGGCCACAGTGTGGCCTAAATAAGCTAAACCCCCCTCCCTTACCTTATTTAGGCCACACTGTGGCCCAAATAAGCTAAACCCCCCTCCCTTACCTTATTTAGGCCACATCATATGGTAGATTTCTTGAACTAACCATGGATTCGGAAGGTCGAGATTCTACTGATCTTTTTATTTAGTGCGGGGGATTATTTCAAAATAGAGGATGATTCTAAATAAGTGGACCAAGTGTAAGAGTTGTGTGTGTGTGTGTGTGTGTATGTGTTTGTTTTGTGTGTGGTTGTGGTGAGAGAGAGAGAGAGAGAGAGAGTAAATGTAGTAGTGTGTTTGTATGTGTATGTGTAATGTGTGAATGTTATTGTGTGCATGAGTGTCTATCTCAGTTGTACGGTCCAAATGTACATTATTTTGTTGAGAATTTTACATAGAACTCAACTACAAAACACCTTTATACAAAGTCACAGAAATATTCTTTTTGTGCTTATTGAGGTGCAGTACAGGGTGATTAAAACCTGCAAGGATAATTGGACAAAATGGGCAATATCTTACTAATGGTCATATTTAGACAAATCCTATATCATTCTCTTTTTTTCTTAACAGCTCATGGTTATTAAAGAGTCAGCAAACTAGATCAAGGTAGTAATTTCGGATTCCTAATATTATGGGCATTCTTTAAAAAATTTTAACTTGTTTTTAGCGCTTTTTTCAACGTAAAACGGATTCCGTTAAAAAAACAACAACAACAATGACCTTATCTTTCTTTTTTAAGGTATTGTGCATACATTTGTGTGAAACTATTTTATTCTATGCTTTCAAGTACATGAAAAAAGCTAATAAAATCAAGCAAAATGTTCTTCAGAGACATAGATCTAGTAGTAAGCCCACTGGAACATTTTATAAACCGTGAAAAGATCACCAGAAAATAACAAAATTATCTTATGATTTTCACTTGCACTTGCAATTTTTTTGACAAATTATCGTCTACCTCGTTATCTTTTTTTTTCCACATTTTTCTTCACTATTCATGACAACTGGCATGTTTTCCAGTTATTATCAAGGAAGTGGATAGGCGGACCACGGGGTCTATCTAGCCCCAAAAGGATAGGTGGACCGCGGGGTCTACCTAACAAAATGCTGTTTTAGGATGTGAACCCTGGAATCAGCGTAGTGAAATAAGTAGATCTAGGTTTGACTAAGGATCGGTGGACCCCGGGGTCAACATAGTGAAATAAGTAGATCTCAGTTTATTTTATAGTAAGACTGGCGGAGCCCGTGGTCAACGTAGTGAAATTATAAGTAGATCTAGGTTTAAATTAATAAGGATTGGTGGACCCCTGGGTCAACGTAGTGAAATTATAAGTAGATCTAGGTTTAATTAAGGTTTGGTGGACCCTGGGGTCAACGTAGTGAAATAAGTACATGTAGATCTAGGTTTAATTTTAAGGATTGGTGGACCCAGGAGTCAACGTAGTGAAATAGGAAGGTTTAGGTTTAAGGTGGACCCCAGGGTCTACCTAACGAAATTTAATACTAGTTAGGTTTTAGAATAGGTGGACCATGCGGTCACCGTAGTAAAATAAGTAGGTTTAATCACGGTGTCCCGGGGGTCCACCAATTCTTAATTAAACCTTCTTATTCCTCTACGGTTATGGTGACTCCGGGGTCCACCAATCCTTTTAAAATTAAACCTACTTATTTCACTACGGTGACCCCGGGGTCTACTAATCTTTAAATAAATCTACTTACATGTATTTCACTACGGTGACCCCGGGGTCCACCTGTCCTAAAACCTAGTATTTTGCTAGGTAGACCCCGTTTTTAACAATATCCAGAAAATAACATAAAATGAGTATATAGATCTATATCTATACGTATTTTATTAAGTATATACTTAAAAATAAAAGACTGAGCAGAGGCTTACAATGTAAATTCTGTGCTCTACACGTAGAGAAAGTCTTAAGTTTGCGCAAAACAGATTTTAGAAAAAAAAGTTGATCTAATTATTCTAATAAAAGTAAAAGTGATTGTTATGGTGAGATTTGTTATTATTAATTCTGGAAATACAGACAGTTGCTGAATCTAAAATTAACTAGAACTGTGCAATTCGTTTTATTTCAATTCCAAAGCCCAAAGGCATAGCAATGAGTTAGATCTAGATCTAGCAGTTGTAGGCTCTCTGGCTGCTTCTAACATTTGTCTGCTACTACTGATTCTAGACAGGGAATCTAGATCTAGATCTAGCTATCACCTGCACTATTAAAGTCAAATATATGGTAAAATAAAAACAAAACTGTGAATCGCTTTGTCAGTCAGTACATCCCAATTGCCATAGCAGCACGTATTAATAGTTGAATAATTATACTGAAGCAACATGTTATCACAGTGTGCAGGGGAGAGCGGGGTGCCCGGGTCGCTGACCGGTCGATTCGGTGGTTCGGCTTTTGTAGATCTATGCATTTTTTACGGAAAGCCCTATTACTAAATCTATTAGTGTTGTGAAAACTTCAACCTCTACAGCTAAGGCGGCAAAAGATGTTGGAAAATAATAATACGTCCTGAAGTTTCATAATTTATACAGAATAATACAGCCAGTAGTTTTTATCTCATCGAGTTATAAAAATGGCCTTGTAACTTGTTTTCAGAAGCAAATTTTAATAGTTACAGTTCTACCGAATCGATTTTCACGCAAATTCAACCATTTTGATGACCATTTCTTTTCCTTTTAAAAAGATAAAGGCCTGTCGGATGTGGCAGTGCGATTAACACTAAGTTGTTTAGACCCATCAAAACACAAGGCTTCGTGGCCGATCACAAAGGTCTACGGGCTTATCGAGGCCGATTCGCCCTGCCGCGTGCACGTTCACTAAACTGCCTACTAGATAGAATCTACTACCAAAGATTCTTCTCGATCTTTGCTACTACTACTACTACATCTACATGTAGGCTACTACTACTAGACAGTACGAGAGATGTACTACTACGAGACAGTACGAGAGAGTGCCACCCAGGCAAAGATAGTGTAACTTTGACTCAGCCACGTTGTGTACACACTTTTTATACCCCAAATTTGACCCGGAAGTCCATTCGGAGGATTTGACCTTTTTACTTGACCAAAGTGTGCCAAAATGGTAGCCTAGATTTTGCCCCTCCATGAAGGAAAAATCTGGCCCTCATTCAAACCATTGAGATTGAGCAAAACTTTGCGTATCGTGCTTTGTTCTTACAATATTCATTATGATATATATAAGTTGTACACTGAGACAAAACTGTACTAAATGAGAAAGGTGCACCATTATGAAAGTGGAACGAACTCAGTTGCCTTAAAAGGGTGTCCCCTGGTAGTTTGAGCATGTGTGGCCTAAATAAGCTAAACCCCCCTCCCTTACCTTATTTAGGCCACCTGTGGCCTAAATAAGCTAAACCCCCCTCCCTTACCTTATTTAGGCCATATGTGGCCCAAATAAGCACTCCCATTATTAATAATTATTTATTATTATTATTAAAAAGTAAGACAGACAGAAATAACAGAGGGAAAGTAATAATAAAAATAATAATAAATTATTAATAATTATTTATTATTATTATTAAAAAGTAAGACAGACAGAAATAACAGTGGGAAAGTAAAGAAGTAGGTCCTACCAGTGATGCCCTCCAACCAACCAATCCAAGATGCAGATAATAAAATATAGTTCAAAGACATCAACCTACTTTCCATCACTCTTGCTGCAATCTCAGCTCCGATACCACACTGTGGCCACCCTCCTTCCACTGTGACCAGGTGGTTGGTTTTCATCACTGATTTGATCACAGCCTCATCATCCAAGGGCCTCAGTGTACGCAGGTTAATCACCTGTGTAAACAATTTGTTCTTTCAACACCTTCATAAACATACAATTTAGTCAACAGTAATTCCACAGGACAGAAGCCACATCTCATCAGGAAGATATAAGAACAATTTGCCAGACAGCTGTTTTGATGTATGAAGCTCAAAATTAAGAGAAAACAATTTTATATTGCAGTCTCTACACTCCTGGTACATTTTTAAAAATGCATCTTTTTAGCAAGGACGCCATGGAAGTTGGTAAAATTTGCCACCTCTAGTCACCGCTTAAGATCCCACCACTTACAATCCCGGTTCGCTTAAGATCCCACTGTTTTAAGAAAAGAGAATTTCTACTACCCGAAAGTAACCCCTATGATCCTGCTCTGAAGGGTATATTCGGCTAAGATTCCGCATTTCAGATCATGATTTTCGAAACAAAAATCAGAGTCGGCGCAGCTGATCAACCAAGCAGCAAAAATTTGCTATCATCAGACTGCTCATTGCATCACAGATCAGCCATTCTCGTTAATGGGATCATATTTCCCTTGTAAATATCGATGAAACCGTGCAATGTTTACCCCAGACGGGACCACACCGAGGTGCGAACTCGCAGGTGCAATGGTTTTCACCAAACATAGAAATCGTATCTGAGCTCTCCACCGGAGCTTACATCAAAAGCTGGGTGGGTGGGGCCTACAAGTCTAAATCAGCCAAGATCACATCGAACTGTGAACTCTTCATTGATTATTGCAGCAGTTGTATCTACTCTCGAATCTATTGCGAGACAGACTGAATTTTAATTGGTGAAGTCCACAGCGAGCTGTACTGCGGTCCCAACACAATGTTGGGTTAAAACAGAGATGGGGGAACTCAGTCAGAGATGGAAAGCTATACATTTTGAACAAGTAAAGGGGAGGAGCACATCTTGAAACTCACAAAAGCATAAGTGAAAATGGCATGCCTCGTGCCATTGTGATTGGTCATCAAAGTTAACTACTCTTTGCCTGCCATCAGTCATAGTCCACCAAGCGGTCACACCAGCTCATTTCAGAGTAAGGGAAGACCATTTTACCGACTGCAGATCTGAACATGAGTCACTTGGTGCATCAGGAAAGATCCCATTAATGTAAGATCCCACAATTTCCTGGGATCTCAGGAGAAGACTACTGTATTACATCTCATGTACTTCACGTTAATCACCTGGCCAATTCTTCTGTATGAAGATTTAGCCACAAAAACGGCTTGGTTTCATATTTGGGAATAAAAAATGCGCACATCAGAACCAAATTTGCTTGTATTACAGTCAACTCTACTTGTGTTGAAGTCACTTGAGTTGATCTTCAGTTAAGCTGATCCTTTTCTCTGGTACAAGCAACTCGTTTTCTTTATATTTTTGTCAAAATCAACGGTTATGTTGAATTCAACTCAAACATATACTCTTGAATTGAAGTGCTTTTTCACCCCCAACTGCATGTAATAAACAGCAGTATTGATTTTCTTTTCTTTTTTGTGTGCATGTGTGTATTGTCAGATGTTTCGAGGTAGTTTTGACACAAGTGATACTTACGTTAAAAATACAATCATGTAGAGCCAACCAAAAAGCATAGAGGCCTATATAGTATGCAGTGAGAGTGAAACAGTGAGAGAAGCGTGAGGAGCAAGTGTTTGTGACATTACGAAGCAATAAAATGGCACACAGATAGACAATGAGTAATACAGTAATTCCTCGGTACCGGTATAACATTCTTGGCTGAAAGATGTACTCTCCGCTGTAACGTTCACTTTCTGAAGTCTTGAGTAGTATTTTTACTCTTTAAAAGCTATGTTTACAGCTACCTTTGCAGAGCATACTTTTTGCTAAAACATTCACTTTTTTAAAGTTTAAGGGATTTTAGTGATCTGGGGGGAAAAAGGGATGAGTCTGGGGTTTTTTTCCCTTTCAATCTGAGACTGGGCCAGTTTGCACCAGACGTCATAAATACGTCCGTCTGCAACTTTTTCAGTATACAGATTAAAAACTGGTTCACATAGCAGGTCTGCAATGAGCCTAAAATATTAAACAAAAGAGAGGTACCTCACATTCCACTCCTTTCCCAGCTAGCTCATTTGCAGCTTCTATACACAAGCCAACACTCTTGGAGTGTGACACAAGGGTCACATGTGATCCTGGGAAACACAGAAAGGAACTTTAAAAAAAAAAACAACCCAAAAAACAAAACATTTAGTTTTAGTCTGAGAAAGAATTTTACTACACTTGCAGCACAAATAAGTCATGTATACAAGTGCCCAAGATAAGATGTGAGTAACACGCAAAGGAAAGGAGGAGACATAAGAACAGTTGAAGTTTGCTAAATACCCACAAACAACCAAAAAGAGAGTTGGAAAGTAACACTAACATAATAGACATGGTTCATGTACACAAAATTACTGTGAAAAAAATATAGCAGAAAGATGCCTTAGCATACATTAATATTAGCAACCTCTACTAATCATCACTTACTTTAATTGCATGATTGTGGAAAAAAAACGTGAGAGATCTTCAATTATGTTTTAACCTTTTTCTGTTCACTTCGTTTTTCTTCCAAGGGACTTCCTCAATGGCACTCTTGAAAGTGATGATAAGAATAGACCATCAAAAGCCTTCACCCTTTTACTTTTCCTTTTCGATTCTCTCTCTCAAATTTTGTGTTCTCTTGATTATGCTGTTTCACGCTAACCCACTGTTTAAGAAGCTACACCGCTATGAATAGTTTTCATATACTTTACATGAAAGATTTTTATATGTGTACATCTGTCCTTTTAAACTTTTTACATCCTGAACCAAAACCATAAAACGTTTTTTACCCTTATATGACAACTACTGTGTCTGTAGCATCATAAAACACTTACCACACCACTATAAGTCATGATAATAATCTAGAAAGTGAATACCAGTCCCATGTTATCATTATATTATTACCATTATTTGCCCAATATTCCACTCATTTGGACTTTAGATCTAGAAGGGTAGAGGAGATGTTTATACACTACAGACCTTGCTCTCTTCCACCTTTAGTTTTGAGTTTGAAAAAGAATTTTACAATACTTGCAACACTAATAGGTCATAAAACACAACTAGATAAGTTGTGTTACTAGAGAGTAACATTCAAGGAAAAAAAGTAGGAGAGATAAAAAGGATAGGAGAATTTGTTAGATATGAAAGAAGGAGCAAACCAAACCAAAGCACCCGCCAACCACCGACTACATTCTATAAGTGTATCCAATTTGTCACCGTAAATCACAAAACTATATATAAAGCCTCACCCTCTCGTTCAATTTTGGCCTTTCCAATGGGGATGAGAAAGTCTTTGGACAAGGCTTCGTCAGACATGTCAAACGACACTCCATACATAAGCTCATTCTCCAAGCATATAACTGAAACAAAGCATACATGGTCAAACACTTCTATACACTCCTATAAACATGAAATTTTTGCTCCACAGTTTTCCAACTTGAGGCTCAGGTAAAGAATAAACATGTATATTTTTCACGAAAAGTTTAACAATTTTCTCTATCATCAACTTTAGAAGTGCAAACCTGGTTATAAAAAAAAATCCAAAACTTCTCTGACTCCATGGAAACATGCACACAAGGACTCAAAATTGACACATCATATTAAAATTATCTAATGCATCTAATACTTAATTCAGAATTATTTTATATAAAGGGCGATATGACATCCAAAAAGAGATTTAATGTAAGTAAATGTATAGGCAAAAGTGTATTACAAAATCCTGACAATTTCAGAAACCCGCCTTCTCGATTTATCCCCATAGTCAGGCACTGCTACACTTTACATCAATTTGCACAGATAAATGTTCAACGCACAACAATGTTGTATCAGATCTACTCAAGTCCTACATGAAAAATATCAGACAGAACATTAATGACCATTGAAATAGAACAATTCCCACAGGTAGGGTGCTGCAATGCGAAATGTAAGGCAGAGATCATTGTCTACTGTTAAGTTCAGAATGTCAGACAGTTCCAATAAGAGCAAAGACTAACAGCTCTATTCACACCTGCAGTATCCTTTGCCCACCACTTTGTATTTCCACTCTTCCACTTTATAAGTAAGACTTAATGTTCAAGGATATAATCCTGGCATTGGTAGTCTAGTGGTTAACTTACCGGACTCGTATTTGTGAGGTTGCAGATTTGGGGGGGAAGGGGGGGGTCGAGCCTCATTGTGTCCTTGGGAAAGGCGCTTTACACTAATTTCCTTTCTTCACCCAGGTGTGAATGGAAACACGGCCATTCTTGCCATTATGTTAATGTTTTAGCATCTCTATAAAATGGCAACTTGCACCGTATGTCTCCCAGATAGTTGAGATTGTTTCAGAACATTATCTGGTCTGCTGGGGTAATAATATAGACTGTCATGCCCATTGAGCTTGCTGTTGTGCAGGAATTTGTGCTGTACAAATGCTACTTGTTATTATGATATAAGGGCATACTTTTCAGTAACGTTATCTTTTTATCAATAATTGCCAATTATTAGGATGGAGAAAACAAAAACTGCAGTCCATAGGCAACTCACATAAAAGAAGTTGTCAAACCTGTAATTTTATACAGGTGATCCTTTTGAACAAAGACTAACAGCTCTATTCACACCTGCAGTATCCCTTGCCCACCACTTTGTATTTCCACTCTTCCACTTCATTATAATACAGAAAAAATGATAGGAGAAGAGTGGGCAGTGGGTCATTTGACCAGGTGATTTTCTTGGACAGGTGGCCATTAGCACAGGTTCGACTGTATTTTGCACCAGATCCTGAAAGGTAGACTATTAGTAAATGGTAGTAAATATGTCCCGATACTACTCTGACCAGGAAGAATATCTCTCACCAGGGTTTGGGTCACGGATGGCGGACTTGAGAAGCCCCTTGCAGTCCTCCGCAGAGTAAGGTGAGACGACCTTGAGGCCGGGGCACTGGCTGTACCATGAGGCAAAACACTGAGAGTGCTGAGCGCCCACACCCGCCGCCGCTCCGTTTGGTCCTCGGAAAACAATAGACACTGGCACCTGTAGCACAACACCAACACCATTATTTGGTAATGTTTCTTAGTGAACTTTTGTGACTTGTTATACACTAGCTGATCTTGAAGAGACTCATATCAGTTGCCTTTTTTTCTTTTGAGTACTTCCATAGAATAAAGGATGAAGAAAGTACAATGTTCCTAACACGACATTAGAACAGGAAGAAAAAGTTAATTTTTCAAAAGTTAATTTTCACTTGTCCATTTTGCACAGAGGAAATTTTGTCAAGGTCAACTGGATATAACTCAGAAAGAAAGACTAAAAATTACAAAGAAATGTTTTAGGAACTTTCTCATCTATACACAATACTAACATCATAAACAGAGTAAACTCATTTGAAAAAAGACACTACATGCAACACTAAAGATAACAGTGTAGTCTCATGCCTCTACCAAAAGCATCTGAACTGCAATTTATAGAAGTGAGAAAAGTTACTCCACGTTCAAAGAAAGTTAACATTATGAAACTTTTCCTTTCATTAATATATAAAAGAATGAACTTCCAAGTCCATCACTATTACTTACAGTTCCTGCAGACATGTAGAAGGTTTTGGCTGCAGAGTTGATCACCTGATCTATTGCTTGCATCGAAAAGTTGAACGTCATAAATTCACATACCGGTTTCAATCCCGCCTGAGAGGTTCACATAAATGAAATCCACAGATTAAATTTGTACATAAGATAACTTAGAATATTTTTTAAAACATTTATCACACTCATTCATAACAAAGTATTATGGTTCTTCCCCCAGTATTTATACTTCCCCTCTAATTCAGAGGTACACACTACACACGGACCACAGCACCCACTCAGTGGCTGCTTGATAATTATCTCTTTCCCACAAACGTCTTTGCAAGCTTGGCGAATTTCTAGCACATGTTGTTGATTTGCTCCTGATTTGCACTGATATTGAAAATGTCATTTTTAGGCTCTGGCAATAAAAAAAGTAGAAATATATTTTCAGTCGTCTGAAGAAACTTCAAAGAACCTGTGCAACCTCAGCCTGCCGGCAAAATATCTGGCATCGCAATATTTCATCCCAATGATCAACAGGCTGGCAGGTGCCATTGGGAACTGGGGCATTTATATTGTGAGGACAGACCTGAGGCAACCCGAAGACTGACAAGTATCGGGTTTAAAAAACCCTATATAGATGTCTACAGGGTCCTTGACACATCACGATGTCATCTTTTATAAGTTTTGAAGAAATTGAAAACTTAACTTTGGAGACTGCTGGTCATTGCTATGTCGACGATTGATATTTTCCCCTAAAAATATATAAAGTACCTCCACTTCCTGATTATAACATGATGTAGTTAGCCTTTAAAGTGTTGAAGTGTGTTTGTGGTTATGTCATGAAGTAAACAGGTGCGAAAATGACATCGCTGGTTTTTTCCCTTACAATCCCATATTCTGTATAATTTGCATCCTATTTTAATGTTCGAAGGCTTGAAACTCTTGTAATAATAATCTATATTACGTTATTACCAAACAAAAATACATTTCTTAGACTTGTATACCAAAAAGACCCCGATAAAATATGGTAATGCTTTTGCCAATATTCAATTATCAATTTATTGAACAGCCATTAAAGAGATGTTTAAAGGTAAAGAAGTGGGACTTGATCTAATCCCACTGAAAACAAATGAAGTACTTGATGAATGAAGAGTGCAGAAACTTGACTAACCTGCTCAATACCTTCTACTAACTGGAAATATTCCAAGAGATATTACTGTAATTCATTGTGTTACTCAAAACTTCTGGAACAACAAGCTACGAATGCGGTGAACAATTATTCTATAAGTCACTCAATGGTGGCTCTCTTGGTCTATAGGTATGTTATTCGCCTCTCATTCAATAGGCCCAAAGTTCAAAACCTAACCTGACTCTTTCTAATGCTACCCTAGCTCTTTCTACTATCACTCCTGGCTCTTTATTACTGCTGTCTTTCAGCCACACCCTGATCCTAGGGTAGCGTAAGGAAGATTGAACACCTAGCCTTCTCGGATACGGGCGAAAAATCTTGGAGGTCCCGCGTGCAAATTGTGCCTCCTACCAAATCTGAAGATACTCTAGTCAGTATAAAACCATAGTACAGAGTACTTTCAAAATCAGAATGTGGCTGCCTGAAGGCAAGGGGCCCTACCAAGTTGGAAAAACAAAAGCATACGTAAAAAAGAAACGCAATTCAGGTTAATACCTGAACAATACAACAGAACAACAAACACCATATTCATCATCACAATGTTAATAGAGAGGGGCGTTGAAATATTCCAAGATCTTTATCTACGGTTCCAGGGCAGCCCATCCACCAGCATATATGTTTTAGTACCAGTAATCAACAACTAAAAAATTAGTGATCTGGCTTTAAACTTCGTAATATGGCCATGGATAGTCTTCTTCCTTGGGGACGTCAAGGACAGGGCTTGTTTCATGAGTGTTTTACAGTACTCATAACTGCATATGGTCATATGAAAGCTTGGAACACATTGAATATTTCAGTTTGGTAGGAATTAATTTTGAGTTTTACCAGGGTGGCAGACGAAGCCTACTCTTATCGATTAAAGGACCACGAAGAGATCTGTGCATGCACTTTTTTCTCACAAGCATAGAGACAGAGTAAGATGGTTTTTAGAATTTTCCACTTGGTGAAAACAGGGGGCTTGGTCAAGACTAAAAAAATGCAGCGAAAAGCTCATTCCATAAAAAAATTTACAACGCTGGCTCTCCCCTTGCACCTTTCATCTCCACTTTAACTACTTCTGTTAATTTGAATTTGCCTAAAGTTAAGCTGGAGCTGCTCATGTTGTTACTTGTTTTTCCCCTGCGCATGGCAATCACACAAGACAGATCTAGATGAGTCAAGACTAGCCATTTGTCTCGGATCTCTACCAATCTACCACTTGTCAAGATGGCAATTGGTGCTATCACATTATACCGCCAGCCCTGCTATACCGCAAACTTTATGCCTGTCCCAAGGTAGGCGGTTTAATGGGGCTTGGCTGTTTATTTAAAAACTGATGTGAGAACTCACCATTGCTGCCCCTGTGGCTATCCCTGCAAATCCCATCTGAAAGAAAAGAAAAGGCAACATTCATTAAAATACATACATGTTAAGAATTTTACTATGCCTAAATAAGTTGTCCCTCAGTTAAAAAAAACACAGTACTTTCAAACACTTGTTTCAAAAGCAAACCACTGAAAGAACTGATGTATTTCTCAGGTGCCAGGACTCAAACCAAGACAATAGAGGCTTGTATGCCTCTCTTGCCAAAGCATTTGGGCCATTCCCTGTTCATCATGTTCTGTCAGTTGATAAATTTGATTTTGTTTTCAGGGTTTTCATTTTCACTATCCTGATGCCCAGGTAAAGGGAAGTAAGAAAAGGTCTGCTAAAACAATATTTTTTTTATTAATCTCCACCAAAAATTGTAGAACAGGATTCTATGTAAACAAATAACTGTGTCTGAAAATGGTACACTACTTCTATTGCTTCTCTGAAAGTGGCTGATATTACATCCATTGCTCCTTTGTGTTATCAACAATGATGTCACCTTGATCTTAAAAAACCAGGTACACTCCATGGCAAAACCAACGAAGCATCACTAATACAGCACTAGGTGCGACCAAAGTCAAAAGTTCAAAACCAAAATGGAGGATGACTCATGGAGTGCAATATGTCACTGCTGTAAAATACACAGCCAAATCCACATTCAATGGATACTGGGCCACTGCAATCTTTATGGCAATGATCGCACTGATGCACTGCCCAACCAGGGTGGTCGACTAGACCAAGCAAATTTAAAAACAGATCTGGCTTCAGCGAGGACATGCATTACACGATATGTTATCGCCAATGAATGAGAGCACACTCAAGTTCACCATTCTCAGGGCTGCCCACCCACCAGCATACGTTTTAGTAATCAATAAATAAAAATTGGTAATCTGGCTTCAAAATTTGTAATATGGCTATGGATAGTCTTCTTCCCTGGGGTGTCAAGGCCAGGGGTTGTAGATTTTTTAAAAATTCTCTCACTGGCCTAGGCTGTCGCCTACACCACTGAAGGGGAGAAATTTTCTAACACCTTGTCTACCTATAATGTTTGTCTTACTCCTCGCCTTGGTACTTCTTAAGTTTAATGCTTTTCTACAGGCAAAGTGGCACTGAACCACTTACTTTACTTTACTTTACTTTTTTCTTCCGCTTGTACCCTGGGGTGTCGCGGGGAGACACAGGTGTCTGTCTGCAGCAAGTCGTGTGGCCTGTAGGAGGGACATCCCATGATCTTTAAGGGTGTCTGCCACAGATTCACTCCATCGTCGCCTTGGTCTTCCTCTGGCTCTCCATCCAGAATATTTAATGTTGTATGTTCTCAGAGCTGGATGGTTTGAGGGCATCCGCGTGAGGTGTCCGAACCACTTGACCTTTTGTTTTTCAATGTGTGGTAGGACTGGTGTTGCTCCCACGGTGTCCCTTATGACTTCATTTTTAATTTTGTCTCTTCTTGTTTTGTTGACCGCTCTTCTTAAGCATTTCATCTCGCATGTGACCAGTTTCCTCTCTAGGGCTTTTGTTAGAGTCCATGTCTGGCACTGATATGTGAGCGTTGGAAGGAAAATGGCGTTGATGAGCTTCGCCTTGGTGCTCATGGGGATATTGGGATGTTTCAGGAGAGGGCCCAGTTGGCAGCTGACTGCGTTGGCTCTCTGGCATCTAGTCTCTATCTCTCGATCTAATTTTCCATTTTCTGTGAAAATGCTACCCAAGTATTTGAATTCTCTGCTTTGTTTTAGTTGGGATCCATTGATGTTGATATCCACTTTACCTGGTCTCCTGCTAATTGTCATGACTTCAGTCTTGCTTATACTGATCTTCATGTCATATTTTTCGCAGCTCGCATTTAGTTGGTTTATATGCTCCTGTAGCTGAGTCTTGTTGTTAATCATTGCCAGGTCATCTGCAAACATGAGTTCGTTGAGTGCCTCTGGGTCTGGATTGGCCTCTTTTGTTATCTGGTCCATGTAGATCACGAAGAGCAGAGGGGAGAGATTGCAGCCCTGTCTCACTCCGGATGTTACTGGAAACCAGTCCGATGTTCCACTGGTAGTTCGGACAGCGCTTCTGCTGTTGGCATAGATAGCCCTGATGTTGTCTAGCAGTTGTCCCTTGATGTCGTACTGCTCTAAGATCTTCCATAGCTTGTTTCTATTTACTCGATCAAAGGCTTTTTCTTGATCCACAAATACGAGGTGGAGATCTTTGTCGTATTCGAAAGCCCTCTCACACAGTTGTCGGAGTGCGAAGATTGCATCAGTGCACCCTCTTCCTTTTCTAAAGCCAAATTGGGCGTCACTGAGAAGATGTTCGGTTTTTGTGAGAGTACGTCGCTCTAGGATTTTTGCATACATTTTCCCCACTGAACCACTACAAGGGCTAAATGCAAAGAGGATGTTAATACTGTTAGAGTTGGACAGCTGCACGTGATGTATTGATGCAGACTGTCCAGGTCTGGTAGTTTTACACCCCTTGTAAACTAGAAAGATTGGCAGGGGGTTTGGGGTAGCCAAATTTATCTTTTAAAAATCGGAATCAGGGGCATTACAATCATATTTTTGTAAAATTGAATAAAAGTCGTAAACATTCCGCCAAATTCATAATTCTGTTAAAGCGAAGTTAAAACCACCACTGGAGCAGGACAAGGCGAGAGGGCTCTCCAGAAGACGAAAGAGTCCTAATCTAGTCATACCAAAGGGTGGGATCTACCCCAGATGACTTGTGCCGGAGATGTGGTGTCAGTCCTAATGACTTACGACAAGCATTATTTGAGTGCCCGCAGGGAGACCCGTACCGTGAACCGCTACTGCATGACAATACCCTGGCATCCTTGCTGGAAAGAACAGAAGAATGTTTAACCAGATATGCACCGGCACAATCAGTAGAAAGACCCTCAGCGGCATTTTGGAGAGAGCAACGGAGCATCAATGGACATGTCCGGAAAGCAGGGGTGTTGCTTCCTAAAACAAAGAACACTGAACCCGGCCCGGACCAGATGAACTATGGACCAAACCCAATGAGGTTGTCACATATCTGACTGCATACAGCAGGCTGCCGCCCTCAAGAGGAGGCCAGCCAGAGCAGAAGAAGAAACATCATGTAAACTCACCTCTGTGATGGGCGTATCAATAATCCTCTTGTCCCCCCATTTCTTCCAAAGACCCTTTGTAACCTGTTTAGAAATTGAATAGGTTTTTTTGTAATATCAAGAGATGGGGGAAAAAAGAAGAAAGTAAAAGTAAATAAACAAAACGACTATGAAAATCAAAATTCTACTTAAGGCTCGGAATAAAATATTTGTATTATCATGATCATAATCCATTTAGACAAACAAATTACAGAGTGAAAAGTAAAATACTAAAAATAACACAGTTTCAAACTCAGATAAAATAAGATAAGCTTTCAGTTCAGGTTTGAGGTGCTTATCACAATACATTATTGACATTAAACTTTAATAAATAACCAAGCACCATCCTATTGACGAATTTGCCAGTAACATAACTCTACACTAATTTAATGTAAACACAAATGTGACTCTGAACTCGTCTCTCTCCTTTCAACCAAAATTCATCAATGTTTGATAAATCCAAAATCATAGTTCTCTTTTTTTCACTCCTGACCTCCGGACAAAGAAAGAGGAGTAACAACTTTTTTTGGGGGGTAAGTATTTTACAGTGCTCACAACTGCATAAAGTCATTACATATGAGCGCGTGGGACACATTAAACATTTTCAGTTTGATAGAAATTAATTTCGAATTTTGCCCTGGTGGCAGCCGAAGCCTACTATTATCGACTTTAAGACAACCAAGAGATCTTTAATGTGAGCAACTTGCACACAAGACCTCCAAGATTTTTCACCCTAGGCTAGGTGTTTGATCTTACCCACTCTAAGATCAGGGATGTGGATGAAAGACAGCAGTAGGAAAGAGCCAGGAGTAGCAGTATAAATTAGTAGAAAGAGTCAGGAGCCGAGAGGAGGGGGGGGGAAAAGTGGGGGGGGGGGGGGGGGGGGGGGGACGCAGAAAGTGGAGATGACAGGACAGGATTAGAGAGCATTAAAAGAGATAAAAGGAAAACATCTTAGAGAAGAAAAATTTTCATCGCTGTCAGATTTCCAACCCGAGGCCTATTGAATAAGAGGTGAACACCGTACCTCTAGACCACAAGAGCCCCCAACATCTTCTAAACATTTGGCCTAGCTATACATCAAGCTCATGAAAGGACAGACATAAATGAAAATCACGTGTAGACATTCTTACTTTGTATGCTCCATCATACTGAGCCACCTCCTCTCCCATGACAAAAACCTTGTCATCTCTTTCGATCTCCTCATCCATAGCAGCGTTCAGAGCATCTCTTACATGCATCTACAAAAAGAAAAGATTGCAGGCCAGAAATATAGATAAAAAGACAAAATAAGAGGAGAGTTGAACACAAAAATGTAAATAATATAAGGCATCAGAAGTGAAGGAGAAATGGATAGCTGTGTCCAATTTGCTGTATTCTCAATGCAGAAGGCCAGCCATGAAAGAAGCTATTTTAAAATTTAAAAGAATGAAACAGATAAGAGATACAAACAAATAAAAATATGAGAAGGGTTATCTAAAGAATGCAGTAATTTCCTCGGTGCACACAAAATCTTTGATAAAAACATTGGCAACAACAGCCAAAGGTGATACAGGGTTTCAGTTAACCATCAGCCCCCATGACAAAAAATCACTAAATTCTTATATGGAACCAACTTCATTCATTTACACCCAAGTTGGGTCAATAAACACCCATGAGCGCACAAACTAAACAGTAAAAAAAAAAGAGACGCTCAACCTAACATAATATATATGGAATTAGTAATTCCACTGAACACATGACAATGGGACAGGACATCACCAGCTGGCAGTCTTCTATTTGTTCATGAATTAATGATGAGAAATATACACTTTGTCAACTTAAACAAGTAAAAGAGAATAAGTGAAATATGTCCTGGTAGGTAAAATTAGCAGCATTTTGTTAACTGAGAGAGGCCAACTATCAAAAATTAATTTCAATATATAAGATTTTTTATTCAAAATTCTTGACATCCAGTTTGTCTTTGCCAAGGTTTCATTCAAAGTGAAATAAAGAAATTAATTGTGCAGGATTACAAACACATCTATATCAGAAGCAGTTTTTCTCTCGCTCCTCCTATCTAACTGCAACTATTCAAGCATCACGTCTACAAGTATTACGTTTATTCGGCTCTGGACCTGAATTTATGAACAATTTAATCAACTTCAAAACAACAAAATTCTACATTAAAATTTTTTTATTTTTTGGTGGGGGGAGAGGGGGGAGGGGGGAGGGGGGGTTAGGGTTCAAAATAGACTGAAACACCAACCTGTGTTGCTGCGCGAGAAGCTGATGTGCTCAAGCATCTCGATAGTTGACTCCATGTCTTTGCCTGCTTCTGTTGACATATTTTAATATTTTAATTTAAAAAAGCTTTCCAAGGGAAGAAGAACATCCTGTTTCGTAATTTTCAGTAAGAGTTTTCTGGCACTTACAAAACAATTTAAAAGTCATATAAGTGCGAAATATTGGAGGTGTTACAACAGAAAACCATGCACAAAACAGAAGGAGAAGAGAGAAAGATGATAAATGTTTGATAGGAAGGAGTAGCAGACCACACCAGAGCACCTGCCAACCACCCAACACATACTGTTAAACTTTTAACATTTAATTCTCTTAAACGTGGGCAACTTGCACACAAGGGTACTCCGAGATTTTACGCCCATGGAGAAAGCTAGGTGTTAGATCCCTAAGATCAGGGGTGTGGCCGAAAGACATCAGTAAGAACCAGGAGAACACAATATATAAAAACAGTCAAGAATAAAGGAGACAGGAGCCCAGAGAAGGCCGGGGGGGGGGAGATGAAAACAGGTGACAGATTAGGACTGGGAAACAGGAAAGGAGGAGAAAGGAGAACATTTTAGAGTATATATTACACACACACATTATACACGTACATTCATTATATCCAGTCAACAACAGTGGGGCACTGGGGTCTTGTATTACTTAGGTATTTCAGTCTGTTCTTACTTATTTATATTTTCCCCTCACCATAATTATTTGTAAACTATAAAAATGAATGGCCCCTGCAGATGGGGGGCCCCATAAGGAGATACTCTGTGTGCTGTATACTACGTAAACTGAGAAGAAGAAGAAAACTAAGAGTAGGCCTACGTACAAAAGGACGTTCAAACAAAGTTCAATGACGCAGTGCAAATGATCGACCGTTTCGATCCGGATCGTTTCTTTTAAAGTTTTATAAGCCCAAGAAATGAAGCACTTTTACAAGAGATTGGACTTAATAGGATGCTGAGCTGCAAATGGAGTAGATCTAATTCAAGACTGCAAGGTTTGCAAATAGATACTGTGAGGTGCAATAGCAGTAACATGCGACTACCCGTAGAACGATGCAAACTATTTTAAGGTAAGGTGGCCATCTTTTCTTTGACGCCAGACCGGGATACCCCTCCAACAAGTGACTACATCTAAATTTTGCCAACCCAAGCCCAATGGCACCAACGATCGTGCAGAGAATCTTTGACAGCACAACGCTTTGGTGTGATGTTTTTCCAGGAATATCGGAATGTATTATGATGCGGTGTTCCTATGATGCTGTTGCTATTCTCTTCTGCGCATTGTTTATCACGCCCGGAGGAGGGAGGAGGTGTAATCTTCCGGCGGCAATTTTTGCGCGCTTTACCGTTTCTGCGTTTACCGTGTTTCAATTTCAAGCACCACTACCGGAATTCCGAAATGTTATTAACAAACCAGAAACCTTGTAACTAATCAGTAGAGCATGGCTGACTGACTGCAGTTACCCGCAAGTGTGAAATTTTACCATGCGAAACACATCGATTCGGTGCCGGTGTTTATAACACATCAAGCCACAGACCCAACATGTTGTTCCATGCGGTAGCCTACCTCCAAAGATTCTCTAAGTGGAGAATCTTTGTCTCTACTACATGATCTTTGTTATCTCCACGGCCTTCTAAAAATAGTCTGTGGGTATCCCAGGATGTTATGACATCACATTGCTAAAATTAGCCGCCAATCAGGCAAGTGCGTCGTTCTACGTTTAGACGCATCAGTACACTAGAGGAAACCACCTAGGAAAGTCTCAAAGACGGAAGCTTGTAAACTGCCAGTGCCAACCAAACCACGCATTACGCAAAATCATCAATATTTTAGAATCACGATCAGATGACGCGGTGGGCATCCCCCTTGCGAGGTCAAACAAGATGGCTATTACTAATCGGCCATTGGTGTTCAGGCCTAGATCTAGATCTAGAATCTAGATCTAGTTAAGTATCTGGAAGTGGCTATTCTCATCCGGGGTGAGAATAGAAATACGATCGACCTCTCACCCTGGGTGAGACTTGCGACCGTAGGCTATTCTCACCCGGTTTGAAAAAAGACCTGTTTTTCCTAATTTCGGAAAACTTTCTATCGATGTGGATGATCAAATGGATAAAGGCAAAGAAAAGATTACGTTATAGCACAAAAGTAAGCTAATTTTATCGACTACAAAGATGCTGCAGCTATGGCTATTTCACTTTTCGAATCGAGCCAAACAACGGGGGTCGCCATTTTGTTTTGCCCGGAAGTTCTCGCAAGATCTACTCCTCCCCTCTTCTCTCTCTGTCTCTTTCTGAATACTGTCTATCGGTGTGGACGATCAAATTGACCAAAACAAAGTTAAAAAATTATGTTAAAACACAAAAGTAAATTAATTTTGTTGTCTACAAAGATGCTACGGGTATTTAACTTTTCGAATCAAGCCGAACTACGCAGGTCGCCATTTTGTTTTGACCGGATGTTCTCGCGCTACTCCTCTCTCTCTCTCTTTTTCTCTCTCTCTCTCTCCACTGCTCACAGACAAAATTGTATGCTTTTAGTAGGCTACAGTTGTAATAGAACGTTTGTTCACGGCACAGAATTCTACAATTTTTCTGTTATCACAGTGTAGAATTTTGTGGTTTAGGGTGAACGCAAAATTTGTTGGCCTAGATCTAGGCTAAAATGGTGAACGCGCACCGGGTGAGAATAGCCAAAAGACCCGGGGTGAGAATACAGGTGGCCTAAGTATCTAGGCTAAATAGGCCTATCCGCTTGTCTCAAATGAAAGTGGCTATTCTCACCCGCCCGGAAGTTCTCGCAAGATCAACTCCTCCCCTCTTCTCTCTCTCTGTCTCTTTCTGAATACTGTCTATCGGTGTGGACGATCAAATTGATCAAAACAAAGTTAAAAAATGATGTTAAAACACAAAAGTAAATTAATTTGGTTGTCTACAAAGATGCTACAGCTATTTAACTTTTCGAATCGAGCCGAACTACGCGGGTCGCCATTTTGTTTTGCCCGGAAATTCTCGCGCTACTCCTCTCTCTCTTTCTCTCTCTCTCTCCACTGCCCACAGACAAAATCGTACGCTTTTAGTAGGCTACAATGTAATGGAACGTTTGTTCACGGCACAGAATTCTACAATTTTTCTGTTATCACAGTGTAGAATTTTGTGGTTTAGGGTGAACGCAAAATTTGTTGGCCTAGATCTAGGCTAAAATGGTGAACGCGCACCGGGTGAGAATAGCCAAAAGACCCGGGGTGAGAATACAGGTGGCCTAAGTATCTAGGCTAAATAGGCCTATCCGCTTGTCTCAAATGAAAGTGGCTATTCTCACCCGCCCGGAAGTTCTCGCAAGATCAACTCCTCCCCTCTTCTCTCTCTCTGTCTCTTTCTGAATACTGTCTATCGGTGTGGACGATCAAATTGATCAAAACAAAGTTAAAAAATGATGTTAAAACACAAAAGTAAATTAATTTGGTTGTCTACAAAGATGCTACAGCTATTTAACTTTTCGAATCGAGCCGAACTACGCGGGTCGCCATTTTGTTTTGCCCGGAAATTCTCGCGCTACTCCTCTCTCTCTTTCTCTCTCTCTCTCCACTGCCCACAGACAAAATCGTACGCTTTTAGTAGGCTACAATGTAATGGAACGTTTGTTCACGGCACAGAATTCTACAATTTTTCTGTTATCACAGTGTAGAATTCTGTGGTTTAGGGTGAACGCAAAATTTGGTGAATGCGCACCGGGTGAGAATAGCCACAAGACTCGCCTGCACTATTATCACTCCGGCTGAGAATAGAGGTGGCCGTCTCAAATACAAAATCAAGCTCAATTTTGCCAATTTGGAATAAAATAAGTCAAAATAAGGGGAGTAGGAACTACCGAAAAAAGCGCCTGGGTTGGACTTGGGGTCAGTTGACACTTGAAGATGAGGGAAACTGGAATCCACAGAGTAGAGTGTGACAGAGGAGACTGATCCTAGATCTACAATCCTGCATCTAGATCTAGAAACTGACTGCTAAATTTTAGATGCAAAGACTTCTATCTATTGAAAAGTGGTCTCTTAAGCAACTGAAAGTCTAGTGAAACCGGTAGATCTACTGTTGTCAGCACATTCGCTAACCGGTTCCGCTGTAAAAATTGTTCGAGATGAACTTGATACATAACCGAACAAACTAACCTTACTTAACCTCTAAAATCTTAAACCGTGAAGGGCGTTTCAACTGAATCTTCAGCAATGCGCTTAAATAATGCTCATACACAAAATAAAATGTACAACAAAGAAAAATCCAAGAGACAGAGGAGTAAGATAAGTGTGCTTTGATATACGTACCACGGCAGCAGAGGGGCTAAAGCGACAGCAGAAAGTCGCCATTTTTGCAGAGGACAAACCTTGGTCAGTAGTCCCAGATTTATTTGCTTTCGTTTCGTCTCTGAATGCGCACTCGACGACAAAATAAAACAACGAATAACAGCCAAATCTTGCTAAAACGTGTTCACAATACGCGCGGGTCACAGGACTGATCACACGATACGCAACGCAAGCCAGTGAGCTTATGTCGCTTTCGGTTTTTTTTCAAAAAACTTCTCTGAGTTCCACTTCTTTCAACGGTAACTCCTTATTGGGCTGAAACTGGGTTTACACACTTTCTAACACACAATGTATCTATGGCTAGTCAAAATTACACCTCGCTTGTCGCCCTCTTGCGCATATCGTGACGATGCTTTTCGCAGCGTAGGTAGGCCTAACGTGACTGTGCAAGTGAAAGTTCTTTACTGAGATTTATCGCTGACTTCATGCATTTTTATGCTGGATGGTATGGTTCTAGATTGATTTGATAGGGCCTACGCATTTCAAAGCAAAGTTCCCGACTCCCGACATCCCATTTTTGTTATTTGAATTTTAAAACGGAGATATCCCAAACATAATGTACGAAACAAATTCAGAACCCCTTTCTAAAAAAAATCACCGATAAATCAAATTCAAATTGCGATAAATATTAACATTATAAAAGACTAGAATCTAGATAATCTATAACAGAAGTAAATAAAATAACTTTTTAAAAAGTAGAATATTACAACCCCCTCGTCAACATGTCTATTATAATACATATTAACCCCTGCCTTAAATTCCTGACTCTTTCTGCAGCCATGCTCCTTCTTACGGCTGTGTTTTAGCAACACCCCTGATCTTATGGTAGGTATAAAGATACAAGACCTAGCCTTCTCGGATAAGGGAGAAAAATCTCGGAGTTCCTGTGTACATGCACGTTGCGCACATGAAAGATAATCCCTGTGGTCCAAAATCGAAGAGAGCTGCAGGCTTCGGCCGCCACCCGGGCAAAATTCAGAATTTCCTTCCTACTGAAAATGTTTATTGTGTCTCGCGCGCTAATATGACCTCATGTACTTTCGAGCGCCGTAAAACACTAACCTAAAAAAAAGTTCTCATTTCTTAAAAGGTTTTCCCCCAGTTCGATGTACGACATTCAGTCGGCAAGTCGGACAAGCGGATTACGATGTCAAACTGACATCGAGTGGGTTGTAAAGAGGGTGGGCTTGCCGAAAACAAACATTGAGATCACTCAGATTATGAGGGATGCGAAAAAGTGAAACTATAAAAAGAGATTCAAAGGTGTTATAATCCTGTTATTGGCAATACGTGTGTTTGAAACCAGGAAAATGGACCCACTTTATATTAGGCCAGGGCAAGATCGACGGCAAAAGGACTCGAGGCCTCGATCCCAAAACTGAAAAAGGATCGAGGAATCGAGTCCGATTTTCGAGTTTGGAAGCTGCTTCAAGTGGGCTGGTTAGAGGCCACGACTTGAACACTGCTAAAAATAGCTCTTAAGATCGAGACCTCGAGTCTTCAACACTGCTAAAAATAGCTCTTAAGATTGAGACCTCGATTGTCGAGTTTGACAGAAGTGGCTAGCTAAGCCTGCGCGCGTGCCAAGACAAGTTGGCTTTCAGGCATTTGTGTGTGTGTGTGTGTGTGTTTGTGTGTCGTGTGTGTTTGCGTGTGTGTGTCGTGTGGGTTTGTGTGTGTGTGTATGTGTTTGTGTGTGTGTATGTGTGTGTGTATGTGTGTGTGTCATGTGTGTGTGTTGCCTCCCTTCTATCACTCTTACCAATGCGTGGGGCACAGGTTCCTTCTGTCTTGCACCCTTTGCTTCCTGATACGTCAAAGCATGCTTTGATGACAAATGTTTTGTTATTGTCGACGTTGTGTTATTGTATGCCAAAACATTATTACAAATCATACAAACAACAGTACTGTGTTTTCAAGCTTTTAAAAAAAAAGTCCGAAGCTAAAGATCGACGTCCAGACATGATGACTCATTGATGTCAACTCAAAACGCACAGTATGATTTACAAAAGAATACGTGTACAGTGAAGATGAAAGTGCAGTGAAATTCAAAAGCAAGCGTTCAATGTTCAAGACAAAAGAAAGAGAAAAGGGAAGTGAATGATTTAATTTGGGATGGGCGGGGGTGGGGTAACAACATTCAAAGTAGCAGTAGCCTATGTGCAGCGTGGTTTCGTACTGGGCTACACGGTAGACACGACAAGTAGGCCTAGGCCTAGTTTAGCATTCACTCATAGCGGGGAAGAGGAAGAGGAAGGTGGGGTGGGGTGGGGGGTTGCGTGAAACAATTGATATAGTGACTGACTGGCAGTTTCTTGCCCCTACTTCACTAGGCCTACGAAAGTTCGTCCCGGGACAGACCCGTCTGACGTTTGAAACCTTTGAACTAGAGTGTAATGTACCGCGCCTATTATTGGGACGTGACATTTTTGTTGCATTGAGTCCCGAGCATTTGTGAATTGCTACAACATCGATGGGACAGTATGACCTTATACTGTTTTCTCTTTCTCTTTTTTCTAATACGAAGCAATAGAGCACAGGCACATGCAACCTCGATTCATCCACCTTGAAGACACAGTCTTGAATCTACATGTATCAAGTCCTAGTGCACGCCAAATTCAAATAGTGAAAAAAAACAACATAAGTAAACAAAACTCACAAAAATTAATTTAACTTGGTAATCGAACATTAAATTGGGTTCCACGCGTATTTTGATGCTAATCTTGGGTCGCTGATCACGAAAATCTTATTATTTTTTTAATTTGACCAATATTTAAGAAATTTTTGGAATGCATTTTTAACTCCGCCTGGGCTAACATCAAAGAAGCCGCCTTATGCGCCGGATCAGTCCTATCCTGGTGCGGTGTCTGTTTTGAAGCGAAAAACTCGACTGTGGGGTGGGGACAGCCCTAGGCCTATCCCACGACAGGACTGTAATAGTGAGGTAGAGATTTAGATTCTTGCCTCGATTCTCGGAGTCTAGGCTAGGAACCAGGCTAAAAAAAGGAGACGGGAGGCATCGACCCTGGGCGGACTCGAAGCTTAGAGTCTGGGAACAAGATCGATTCTTTGAGTCCTCATTTGGACTCGAAAGAATCGATCCCAGAGTCGATCTTGCCCTGGCCTACTATATATGCGTCTTTATACATGTGCACAGAGAGCCGACAGGAAAAAAAAGGTGGAGGGAGGTTCTGTCTCCGCTTTGGTCTGAAGCTATTGAGAGTCAAGTGTGCAAATTTGGTCTCAAGCGCGCGTTGTCCAGTCACGTGACACAGTGTGGCTTCAGTCCTCAAGCCTGATACAATGTAAAACCATCAGTTGCTTCTACTGGGCCTTGAGCCGTACTGTAACCAAAGGTCGAAACTCCTGTGATATTCAATCTGTGGGAACTCAAGCGTCGGTCAAAACCAATGAAATTTCATTCTCCCCATGAACGGAGCGGAGCTATCTATAGGCGTAGGTGGAGTAGACACCCGGACCAATCAGATCACTTTTCGAGTTATTATGTCTCAGATGTTTTGTTTGTGTCTTCATGGAGTTTTGTTTCTTACCAGAATACTTTTTTTTGGTTTTATTCCTTTTTGGAATTTTGGTGAAAATGTTTTGTTTTGATTTTAGTCAGAGGAGTAGCTTTTTGGTGAAGAAAAACCAGGTGGGGGCTGAAGCAGCAAGCCCCACCCCTCCAGACGCCACTGCTTGTATGCTTATTAATATAAAACGATGGTATCGGGATCCGTCCGCTGATAATCCAACAAACGTATTATATTATGTTAATTATAGTTGTACGATCATGAGTGAAGCGACATCAACAGTCGAGGACGCAATTCGTGTTTTTCAGCAACTCGCCACTATAGGGCCAGGCGTACGAGGTCTGTCCCAGAAGTGAGTTTATCTGTTTTGTTAAAAGAAAAAAAAAAGATTTAACAATCTTACACTTTTACAGACATAAAATTGTGTACACACATACAGAAACATGCATTTTCTATTCAACATAAACTGTTGATCTCAGTGCATTTTTTTCATTTGATGCAATCAGCGTCAAAAGCAGTGACCATCGTCCACTTCGGCCAGACTGATCATCAGCTGGGAATTTACTTTGTTTGATCATAATTTATTTTTATTCCCCCTCGGATCGTCTCCAAATCGCTACTCCCCATGCTCAAAAGTCCTTTAAAAAATTGGTTTTGGGAAAGAATTGAAGTCGCATGGTGTTAGTTAAGCGTGAGGAAGAGCGAGAATGGCCAAATATATTTCTCACTGCCCGGAGTCCAGGCATGGTGACCTTTCGAATAATATCTTTGCCTAGGCCACATTATAATTCTATATTGAATAAGTGTAGAATTCTGAGGCCTAGGCAGATCCGGCGCCGCTTTCTTCTGATTGCTGCTCATCAGCCAGTGGCGGTGGGTAGTAATCAAAGGGCTCACGTAGACGGTAAATGTCTGGGGTGGGTGTGGTATATGTGCAATAGTGTGCATTTGTTGTAGTGTTGGGCAGGTATCGATTCTAGGTATTGATACTTAGATACCTATAGGTATCGATATTGGTATTGATACCTGCTCTAAACCAAAGATAGTAAATAACAAGATGGGCCACTCAGCCAAAAAAGTGTCCGCAGGAAGTATGCTCTTTGCTTCAGATGGCGCTGCAGTCTGTTTTGAAGCTCTCTTTCGTTTTTCCAGAAGAAGAATAGGAATAGCACCTCCTTGCGTGCGCAGATCGACTGCTGTTCATCAGCAGTTCGGGTACGTTCAGTGCGGAGTTTTAGGGTTTTAAAAATTTTAATGACCTCTCGCCTTTCATTCTAAAGTCAAATTAAACGAAGAAAACCATCACCCTTTCCTCCGGAAGAGGTTTTTTGTCAGCGTAACCATTTTTTAAAAGCGTTCTTCCGAAATTTATCCCAAAACTTGCTAATTTCACTTTGATTTTTTAAAACTCAAGTAGGGTAACTCTGTTCGCAAAGAGTGCGTTTTTGTGAAGAGGGCGCCACCAAATTTTGAGGACACTTTTTTAATTGGCTCAAAGAGAGAAGTGGCCCATCTTGTTATGTACTATCATTGTCTAAACATCGATACATATCCATTATTTATCCCAGG